AGTTTTTTTTATCCCTGCCACCTATCATGAGTGTCATGTCACTAGAACCTTGTACAAAATACACTCCTGTCGCAAACGATTAAAGCCAAAAATATCTCAAGAAACGTTCGGCTTAACACTGCTAAATGTTATCCTAGATGGTTCCTAAGACACTGCTAGGCCATTGCTATGCTATCCCCAGGTGGTTGCTAAGGTGTTGCTGGCCACTGCTGGTATCCCAGGTGGTTGCTAATATATGTGTATATGTATGTGTTGATATGTATGTGAGTCTGTACATAATGTTTATGAAGGACTGTGTGAGACGTCCTCTGTGGCAGTTCGATTTGACATTTCTGAACTTTCTGTCATTCTTTTCCTATGGGGGAAAAAAAACTGTGTTTAAACAGTGTACAAAAACCATAGATTTCCAAAGCATTCATATCCAAAAGCACAAGTGCGCTATTAACGTATAAGCTCTATGATCCTGAAAAATGTTGTGGTTCAAGCTTGAAAACTGCAAGCTGTGAAAACAGACCCAAAAAAGCACAGAATAATAAAACAAAGAACAGCAAATTGGCTTTGAGAAAAAACAAAGGAGATCTGTGATTTTACTGCACATTGTTAAAGCAACTGGTAGGCAAGTCATTAAAGAGGTCAGTCAGTCTGGATAATATGGCCATATTAAACACAATATAAAATGGCAATTAGTAAAAAGTAAGCCAAAAAACAAATCAGTCCAAAATGAACATATGCGCATTAAACTGCAGTCAAGCCTATCTTACCTAAATTGTATGGCTGTCTCATCTATGAAACAGGTGGAGAACTCCAGTCCTGAGAGGTCAGAGTCCTGCACAGTTTCTGCTCAAACACCTGATTCAACTCATCAGTTAATTACCATGTTTAACAGCTGAGCAACAAAATCACCAAACTTCGCAGCACTCTGGCCCTCCAGGACGAGACGTACCCAACCTTGATCTATGAGAACTAACAGATACAACAGGAACACCTACTTCAATGTTTTTTAGTATGTACTATTTTCCCACGTTCTCTACTAATTAGTACTAATGCATGAATTCCAAATGTAGTGGATGTTGCAAGAAAGCATCGCTCTGCTAAAACCATCCTAAATGACAGAAAGAGTATTGAAAGTGCGATAAAGACGTCTGTACTATGCTCCTTTTAAGACTATAATCTAAGAAAGGACTATCCTCTGAAATGCAGCATTCATCATCAGCAGAACCACATTTCTCTACTCCTCAACAGTCAATGAACACGAACCAAATCTGCTGAAACTAATAACTAATATTTCATATTATATTATCTCTATTATTGTCTGTAACAAGAACACTTTCACTACAGTTATATGAACTGTTACCATTTATGCTAAGTCCACTCTATAGCTCCTGACTGAACTAGTAAACGTGTGCTCTCAGAAATCTCCTTAAAAAAAAGGAATGAGCGCTAAAGAAACCTAAGCTGGTACATCATGTACTTTCATGCAAATCAGGGTGCTGAGATGGCCGTTCAAACACAGCCCTTTTGGTGTAGCAACATTTAGAACAACTACTCTGGTACAATGCCCAAAGCAGCCTTGAGTGAAACTTCTACTTTGCCAGGACTTTCAAAGGCATGTGTGGCTGATGTACAGACAGTTTTAGAGCAGGGCACTGACTAACCACTCCGCTGCACTACATGTTCTTATACATTCTACCATTTATTACACATCGCTGTGTCCTGTGGACTTATCACACTGTATTTGTTTTGCGGTTTTGAGTAGTTTTGAACTGTTGTGTACTTATTAAACTTAATTAGCACTGTACTGCACTGTTGTTTATTTGCACTATGCGCAGTCTAGGTCTTGGTCACTTGTACAGTGCTCTGCAGTAAACACTGCCCCATCCTGAATGCTGCACCCTGGAGGAACATAGTTGGGACGATAAAGCTCTCTTGATTAACTTAATCTGCTTCTATTAGAAAGGCACACTCTAAACATGTCCATTCATTGGTTCTCTTGACTGTGCCAGTACAGGTGCACTCTCAGACACTTCTTACTGATTCAGGCTTTTAAGAACCAAAATGATGCAGAGGCCCAGTAGTGTCACTGAAAGAGGAGGGGGCGCCTACAGGAAACATGCCTTGGGACAACAAATTGTGAATAGAGCCAAAAATAAAGTTGCTGAGACGATCAGGAGACGACCAGGAGACTGAACACAGCTAATGTGAGGGCATTTGATGCTTTAGTTGTGCCTTAGCTGTTCTACTGTAACAGATGTGTCCCCTTTTCCTATTTTTAATTGGAACCAAAACACAGCAGCACATCACTCGCTCTACAACGAAAATTCACCTGAGAATCTTTATGCACTTTTACGTGAATCTAGTTAGCAGACACAAGACTGACTGTCAATGGGGTAAAAAATAAAGCTGTATAGACTGACAGGTTAAGTCCAAACACAGTCAGTTTATTGTAGCCCCACATTTATTTTTCTTCTAATAAGGCAGGATAAAAGGCTAACATCTCCAATGCCACAAAATAAACGTAATAAGATATAGTTACCCTCACTTTCAAAAACCGTGAGGAAGATTTAGACAATTTCACTTTAGCCTATAATAATTACACTAATGATACTGCTTTCTGCAGTTCAGAGGAAGGTCAAAAACCACCAGTGAACCTATACATGTCTACTAAGTTTATATATGGAAGATTGATAAGGGAAAAAACAGTGGTAAACCTAAAACATTAAGTTTTCTCTGGGGACTATTTTGTCTTACATCAACATGAGTGCACATTAAAAATACACTTTACGGGTTGAGAACAGTTTGGCGATTTCCCTGCTCAAGCACACCAAACTTTTTGTTAAAACTTATTTTATGGTACACTGTACATATTGCAGTACAGTGTAATAGTAAGTGCAATAGTCTGCACATGGAGCTACAGTGTATCATAGTGCATTATTATGTGGTTTTATTCTACGCTGTACTGTGATGTCTCCTTACATCCACATACAGTGACATGCAAAAGTTTTAACAGCTCTGGAAAAACTACATATTTTGTTGATGTTCTAAGTCACGGGTGTCCAATCGTATCCACAGAGGGCCAGTGTTTTCACTCCAACAAAGCAGGAGATCACCTGATAAAATGTTTGAAGACTAAGACCAACTATTTAAACAAGTAGAATCAAGTGTGCTCCAGCTTGTGTGGAGTGAAAACCTGCAGCCACACTGGCCCTCTGCGGAAAAGACTGGACACCCCTGCGAAAAGTTAACACATCTTATACAGGGAATGTGTTTAAATATGCCATTTTTCTCTCAATTGTAGTGCACAATTTCTATTTATTTGCCAAGTTTAACATACTGGAGAAAAATAAAACATACAATGTAAATTGTCATAACTTTTGCACAGGCCAAACTTTAAGCTTCTGATTTTTCTCTTTCAATATGTTGAATTCAGCAAATAAACAGTAATTGGGAACTGAAATGTGTAGAGGTGTTTTGTGTAGAGGATGTGTTTGCTTATTTTCACTTACCAAATCAACAAAAACATAATTTGACCAGGTCGCATAGACATGCCTCAAGCCGATTCTGCTACCCATCAATACTCATAATTACATCTCTAGTATTTAGAGTTTTTTTTCCATTCTGAGTCTTGATTCCTCTCAGTGCCCCTACTTCACGCTCTTGGAGGGTTTTCCCCGATCTTGAAAGTCCCGCATTCAGTTCGCTTATTAGTGAAAAGCAGCTTCAGTAAAGCTGCTTTACAGAAAATGCATTGCTTAACTCTCCCACTGTTCACTGTGTTTAAAACACAGTGCGTATTTAAGACTCTTTTCAAAATCAAGGGAATGAAAAAGTACTTTAAAACTATATAACTTAATTAACGATTCTAACTTTACAAAAATGTTATCATGCTCCTGACAAAAGGGCTGTCCCCCTCCTTTCTCCTTGTAATTCTTTTTCCTTCAAGCAATATTATGTTATTTTTGTCAACTGTGATGAACTTACATGGTTTTGGTTTATGTTTTTTATTGTTGACACTATGTTTCGATTATACACATCACTTTCATATTCCATAAATGAAAAAGACAACATCATGCTGTTACAAGCTCTACACAAAAGCACCTGAGCTAAAGTCAGTGCTGCTGTCACAAAGCGGAAATTCACTTCCCGCCTGCATTTCAGTGTTTTTTGATCATTCTAGTGACCTGTGTATGACCCTCTTTATGAACATCGTTATTCTTATGTCCAATTTTTCATCCACAAATGTAAACGGACCTGTCTATGTCTTTAGACGGTCTATGTCTCCTTCTTTGCTGAATTTCATCACTATATGGTTGCTCTGCATTTTTGTTGTAACAAATTAGCACCTAATTTGTTGAACGTGTGCCATGAGATTGTTAACTAATATTTTAGTATGCTGATTTTTAAGCCCCTGGCATCTGTTTTAAATCAGTGTTTATTAACCCAGGTCCTGGAGACCCACTGTCTTGCACTTTTTAGTGGTTTTTCCAGCTCCCAACACACCTGATCTCACTACTCAGCCCATTATTAAGTTAAAGTGGGTATGTTAAGCAGGAAAAGCACTAAAAAAAAGCAGGGCAGTGGGCCTCCAGGACCAGGGTGGAGAAACTGTTTTACAGAGTTGCTACCCCTTACTTACTTGTGTATGTGTTGATACATGAACATTAAAAATATATAATTTTAATAATATCGACAATAATAATAATAATAATAATAATAATAATAATAACAATAATAATAATAATAAATATAAAGTTTTCCTATCCTCCAGCTTCTTGTTCGAATTCTCCCGTTCCACCTTAAAAGGTGCAGCAATTACATTCTCGCGCCTCAGGAGCCAGAATATAACTGCTGCACCATTTAAGGTGGACCGGGACAATTCGAACAAGACTCTGGAGGATAAGAAGCCAACTTCAGCCTCGTTGTGCGTGTTCGCTGTCAGTGAGGAAAGCTGCGAATCCTCGCCTCGCTGCCTCGAATCAGAAACACTCCGTCTTCATCTGTACCTGTAATTATAGGAGGGGAAGTTCCTGCTCTCCTTCAGAAGTCTCCGGTACAGCGACAACACCTGAGATCTGCTGCTGGACGCCGCCATCATCCCCCTGTAAACACGCTGAAACCACGCCGCCGCGGAGGGCGTCCAGCAGAGCGCCTGAACATAATCCTGCCCTCCACCGCCCGTTCTCTCCAACATGAACAACGCTCCGAGGACACTTTAGCTTAAATAGGTAATACGATATAAGGCGTGTGTAAAATCAGCAGCATTTGAATCCAACAGCTGAATCTTTATCTATATTAATCGGGCAAGTGCGCAGGCCTGTCGTGCTCATGCCGCCCGACCCTGAGAGAGGTGAGTGTGACAGTTTCATGGCTGCTTCTCCAGCTGAGCTTATAAACGTGAACGTTTTATTTTCCCTACATTTTGCCTGTGAGTTCAGGTACCGAGGGGCTGCCTCGGGTTTATCCGCGCTGCTCAATAAGACGCGAATGTGCTGCTCAGGCAGTTTGTTTACTGAAGAAGCTTTACACAAACATGAGTGTCACTGTTATCATCTCTGTCAGCAGACAGTTAACATACTGAGAACATTTCATATCCTCAGTACCTGCGAGTGAGTTATTCAGAAGCATGTGTAGGAACTGCTAAGTGTAGCTGAGCCACTCCTGGCACGTTGTTTTGAAATTAGAGCTGTGTGCAGTGAGAAACAGAAATGGACGATTCACCAGGGAGTCGGTTCTTTTTGGACGATTCAGAAGTGAATCGATTCGCAGGCGCAAACGAAGCAAAAGTTTTATCATCTTCACGTAAACAATGTTGCTGCGTCCAAAAGCACATACTACTGCACTACACATAATACGCTAATGATTGGGCCTCTACTGGGGGTGTACTATTTTGACATACTATCTAGTGTGGTAGTATACAGTTTGGGATGCAGCCTCTGTGAACCTTCTCCCTATGGAGAGGAATTCGTGCCAAATTGAAAAGCCGTCACTACAGTGGAAAAAACGTGAAATGCAATGCACACATGACATTTATTTTCCATCGTGACGGGCAGAATACAGGCCAAAAATGAAAAACATAAACTTTATTACACTGTAATCATGTTGATCTCTGATGTCGTCTTCATTATTTACAGAAAAAAAGTCAGAGAATTTGCTTAAAAAAATCAAGCACTGAATCTGTGTCAGAACTGAGTACAGTCCATCCTGAAATGTAATGAAGGCATTGCTGTATTCCTTTCCACTGTGCAATCTTTTAAATCAGTTTTCCTTATTGAAGTGCACTCATAACAGTGAAAACAGTGGAATACAGTGTGGCATTACTTTTCCACAGGTGACATACTGAAAATAAATGAGAAGTAAAGCCCCTGTTACAGAGGTTTTGATGTCACTTGACTTTTTTTTTGTACTTTGAATATATATGCTTCATTAAAATGCATTTCACATGTGAGATTGTGTTTAAACAGTAACGTGGAAAACGTGCCAATATGAAAAGTAAAACATCCATTATGCTGATTTAACATTGTTTAAGTACAGCACAGTGGAAAGCAATATAGCCATCAGTGTGGACGGTATTAAATTCTGACACAAATACAGCATTTCATTTTTAAAAAGCAAATCCTCAGGCATTGTGTTTTCAGTGAAGAGGTCCAGCGACATTAGAACAGGTAATAGAGGTTTTGTTTTTCATTTTGGCCCATATTCTTCATGTCATAATGAGAAGGTAATGATATATGTGTTGCATTTCATGTTTTTCCACTGAAGTGATTGCTTTTCAATTTGGCACAAATTCCTCTCTATAGGTTTCTGTCACCCACTGAGCTGTGTTAGTGGTAACCAACAGGACTTGACTAGTGGTCTTGGCCATAGGCTGCTATACTTAAATGAAACTTTTTCTTCTATAAAATGAACCATTATATGTATTGTGGGTGTATTAAAGGGCCCAGATTTGACCTTTTTTTCTATTTATTTTTCTTTTTTCTTTTTTTTCCTCCCCTAAGGTCCACTTATGATGTTCATGCGCTATGTTTCTATATGACCATTTCCCAACTTGTCTTCATCCCCTGAAATTAAACAGGCTGTTTTTGTTACTGCACCTTTTAAACTGATCTGCATAAATGATCTCTGATCTGATTGGCTGCCCTGTTTTACACCTCATTTAGGAAAAGTATGGCCAATATTCTGAACATGCACTATAATCTATGCACTGTTGTCCCGTGTGTACTTACTTCTGATATCTAATTATATATTACATTAATTAGGTACTGTTTATATTAGTGCACCAAAGCTCACATAGTACATTACACTTCATCTTTTAAAGGAGAGTTCCACTGATTTTTCAAAATGACTAAATAAATTAGTTATTGAGATGTAAACAAAGTCATAATAGTCAAAATAGTTCATCATAGAGAAACAGATATAAGCATCTTACTTACTATCCAAAACCATCAGTTAACCTACATGTCTTTGGAGTTTTTATATGAAATGCTGATGAAGGTAAAAATAGTGATAGATCTGGAAAAAGTAGTAGTACATTTCTTTAGATGTCTCGTTTCCATGACCACCACTGTGAACAGTTCTGATTGTTGTTTTGGAACAAAGCGTTTAACATCATACTACTCTGAATGACTTTGTTTATATCTTAATGATTCAATTATGCAGAAAATTGGTTCAACTTTTTTTCTCGCAGTTAAGCTGTATGTATCATATTTATAATTCTGGTAATCAGTGCATGTGGGTTTGGGGCCAACTACGTCTGTCATATTATACAGTCTGATGTTTTTTGTGGCCTGTGGGTCGCTTACTGGATAACTTGTGTTTTTTGTTTTGTTTTTGTACTGATTTGAAAGTAATCAAGGTGTGTTTCACTCAAAGGATTTGTTATTGTAGTTTTTTCACCCCACAATCATTTTTCTCTTATTTTTATGTGTTAGAAAGCTCAACCGTGGTCACTCAGGGTATTTGAATTGCTGTCCGACTCTCGTGTTGGTTTTGCCTTAACATTCAAAGACCTTATGCACTGGTGCACTCCTCCTAATTGATATCCCAGATGTTCCTGAATATCAATAGCCTAGTCTGGAATAGAAGAGCTTTATTTTATTTATTTTCTTCCCAAATTGACTTCTCATCAGTCTTTGAATACTGATGTGGCCTGGCCACTGCTGGTTGCAAAACTTTTGGCACTAGATGACTCATTTTGGATAGACCACTAAGACCAGTGAAATGGGAGCAGAAGCTTGTCATATTTGTTTATAAAAGTGCTGATAAGAAAATGTGTGATAAGAACTGCACACGATGGCTTAATTTCTGATCAGACTGATACTGTGGACATTCATTTAAAGTATGTTACTTGTCACGAGTGTCCTGAAAACAGTGCTTTGCTATTTTTAGTGCTATTTTGTTTGCATCAGCTTTGCTGTCTCCCTCAGCCTGATTTCCCCTAAACAGTATCTTCTGGACAAGCAGCAGATGGAATCAGGCTTTCTATTTGGGGAAGAGCAGTGAGTTTCAGATACGGCCCAGTAATTTTCTCTCAGCGAGTCAGATTCCCATAGAGATGTGACAAGACAGGAGTTAATGCCTTCTTCCTTTACGCATGGTGCACAATCAATACAACTGACTGGCCTGTTTCAGTTCTACAGTGAAACTGGACTGAATCTAGTGTCAGTGTGGAGCTGACTGTGACGGTGACCCGCATACGGTGCGCATATTTTGGGAGTTGATTTCTTCAGAGGCTCACATTAACATTCTTATGGTTATAAAATGGATCGTTTTGATTCTAAAAGCTGAGACGCATTCAAAGGCGTTGTAAAAAACTCTTTACGCACACATTGCCTGTATGTCCAAAAGTATCCAGAAACTCCTTGTAATTAGTGGAATCAGCTACTTTAAAGGGAAATTTCAACCAATTTTCAAAATTTCTGTGTAATTAAATCGTTCCCGCATGAAGATCGTCATTTAGAATTGCATGATATGAAATTCTCCTCGCTAGAGTCAGAATTGTTCACTGTGGTGGTGATATGAACCAGACATCTGAAGACATAATGTCTCAAGAGCTCCCTCACAGAAAGTTATTATATAAAATGGTTATGAATACTTTGTCTGATGACTGTGACATTGTTTTATGATCGTTTTAAAAGGTCTTTGGCCAAAACATTCTTATATATATATTCTTATATTCTTATATTTTTTTGGGATAATCATATAGCTTGGTCAGGTGTGTAGAGTATGGAAAACACAAAAACGTGCAAAGCATGATGTCGCCATGACTGGAATTGGGAACCCCAGCCCCTGATGATCTCGATCTGATCTTGATTATTGGGAAAATGTTTAAAAAACCACAGCTGCTTTGGGGTTGATTTTCAGGGCGGGCTTTTAGTTGACTGTAGTAACTATCTTCAAGTCATAGATACCTTGGAGAGAACGGAGGATTACTTAAATGACAGATTAGGAGAACAAGCTGAATGCTAAAGTTAGCTAGATAGCCAGATATTGTATCTCAGTTTGGCTTCTTTTCTCCAGCTGAAAGGGTTTGTGCGAGAAAGAGAAGTAAATTTCTTTACAATACCGTTCAGAGGTAAGAGTCTAATGCTAGCTTGGCTACGTTTATTAACCTGTAAACCAGTGGTTAGGCTGGCAGTGAGGACTGGTTGACACCACAGGTTCCCAATGGTTGTGTGATGTATTTGCGTAATGCATGCTGAGTAGTGTAGTGATAGAATCTAAACAGATTAAAAATGTAAAAAGATACAAATTTGTGAATTGTCAAACTAATGATACTGAAGGATGTAAAACTGCACCACAGAATATTACATATTATGACAAATAACGTATTAATACCAAGTGTGAATGGGGCCACGGACAGTCTCAGAATGTAATGCCAACACTGTGTTAGGTAAGATCATAATTAGAATGCGCATATCCGTGCTGTGTGTACATTTCCATCACAGATCATCCAAAAACTAGATCACCCCGTCCCCATCTGCTTTAGGAAAAACAGACCTGCTTTTCGTTTCCTCTTCTCCGAGCAATGATGCCTCTCCTGTTTTTCTCTGCTGAGAAAAGAATGGATTTGTGCTGTGACCCATGGAGAGAGATGCTGTGTTCATGATACATTGTGATGAGATGTTGTGCTC